ATGCTAGAATTCCAAGATAGGGAGAGGAGCAGCCAAGATCTGAAGGATTGTGTGCTGAATAGGGTAATTCATTGGGTAAAGGCTTAAGAACCTTTCCATCATTTTTCCTATTCAGACTTATGGAGAAATTGGTCAGCAGTAGCAAGATGATCTTCTAGGAAGATGAAGGCATTTACAAGTTGGATTCCACTGCCTGGAGGCTCATTGAAGCTGAATTTTGATGGGAGCAGTCAGGGCAATCCGGGGCGCTCTGGAGTGGGGGAGGGGTGTTGCTGAGAAACGAGGCTGGAGAGATTGTACTTCTCTATTCAGGCGTGTTGGGATTTGGGGACTCAGTCAAATCTGAACTGTTAGCAGCCCTACAAGGAGTGCAATTTGCAAATCAACTAGGTGTAGGACAGCTTATTATTGAAGGGGATTCCAAGGTGGTGGTGGGGTGGTTGAAGAACCCTGAGGATACTATGTGGTGCTACAGGAATGAAGTCAAAAAATTCAAGTGGCTGACAAGGAATATGTCTGTTATTACACAATGGGTGGGGAGATCAGCAAATTTTTTGGCTGATGGGTTAGCTAAGCAATGGGCAAATAGGGAAGATTTGTTTTGGGCTCAGCTGTAATGGTTGTTTTTTCTTTCTAGTTTCCTTGAAATCAGTTGAGAGAGGCTGCAGCACCAGCGCCTCTTCATGGGCTTCTTTATTGTTCAACACATGATTCCATACAATATTGTACATGGGATGATGTATTTGGTTATCACTTCTAATACAATTTAATACTTCATCTTGAAAAAAATCATTTTCAATCCAATTTGCATACATTGATCAAAAATAACTTCAGATGTAGATATCTGCTTATTTACCTTAATCTAATTCTTGGCAACATCCTTTTTAATCTTCCCTTCACCATGGGAATTAATCCAGGGTATTGGAAATGATCATTTTAGGGAATTTGCAGATCACCCAGTGTTTTAAAAGCGCAAGGCAAAAAAAAAGTACAAAGGGAATTTTTCATCCAAGGTGCAAGGCAAGGCGTGCACCTTCTTGAAGCAAGGCACAAAATTTAAAAAAAATGCACAAATTGGATAAAAAATAAAAAATTCAAAATAAGTTAAAAATATTGTAAATGGTATTAATTAAAAAAGAAAGCTTTAATTAGGGGTGCAAATGGATCAGATCATGATCTGATTCTATTTTTGTCGGATTCAGATAACCCTCAATTGAATTTTTAGATCGGATCACACCTAGCCAATCCGACCCGACCAATATATATGTATATATTTATAAACATATTTACTTATAAAAAGGCATGTATATATTAATATATTTATTTATAAATATGTTTAAATTGCATTTTTATAAAAGGCATGTATATATATATATATATGATGAAAATAGTTAAAAAATACTTAGTTTTTTATTTTTCTTTGTATAAAACTTTTATGTTTTTTTTTTTTTATTTTAATGATTTATTAACCTTTTCATAATTCAAATTGAATTGGATCAGATCCGGATATCCAACATCCTTAATGAATTTGGATCAGATAGACCTCGGATATGTGCTATCGGATTGGATTTGGATATACCCTGATTCGAATCTGATCCAATCCGTTTGCATCCCTAGCTTTAATTTTAAACTAAATGTTTTGAAAATCCTATTATCCAAATTAAAATAGATAAACATAACATATAAAACAAAGTGAAAATGCAAAAATAACATATAAAACATGCTCAAGCATGTCAAACTTTCAACTTCTTTATATCTTCCTCAATTGCATTACTTCAAATAACCAATATGATTTTAAACATTTTTATTCCTAATTCTACAAGGTACCTTTGTACCAAGACCCTTGAGGCCAACCTATGAACCTAACAAAGTCCATGTTAGGGTCTTAAATTCTTAATCCCTACAAAAACTGATTTTATAATTTTAATTGTTTTTTATAATATCTTTTATTAGGATGAATGAATGAACAACATTGGCAAATAGGGGGACTTGTTTGTGCTTGCCTCAAGGGGCTTGGTCAGTGGTCTGGGAGTGTAGACCCCGGCCCAGCCACCACATGCTTAAAAAACATAAAAAGTGCAGAAAATAAAGAAGGCACTTGCCTTCCAGTTTTTTTTTTTTTTAAAAACCTTTGATGACCTCTGAAGGAACTGGTTGGAAGTGGCAAATAGCTTTATAGGAAGAAATAAGTTCCTTACTGGTTGGAAGGGTTTATAAAGTTGAATTTTGATGGGAGCAGTCAGGGTCATCCTGGCTTATCAGGAGTAGGTGGGGTCTTGAGAAATGAGGAAGGCTCTGTCTTCTGAAGTATAGGGATGCAGATTCTGTTACTGGGGAAGTACAGGGATCTGCTCAAGAAAGTCAAGTGGTTGACATTGCATATGACAGTTAGGATACAATGGGTGAACAGATTGGCTAATGCAATGGCAGATTTTTAGGGGCTGCCAGGGATTCTCTTTTCTGGGTTGTGTTGTGATTTTCAGTTTTCAGCTTTATTTGTATAAGGGTGTGGCTGCATCTCGTGCTCCTGTTGGTATGCTTGTATCAGTCTTTATCTTTTGATAATAAAATCTAATTCAATTATCAAAAAAAGGGCACATGCCTGGGCTGAGGGGCAAGTGCACCTGGCACACACCTTTATAAAGGGGCTGTGCCTGGGCCTAGGTGAGGTGTAGGCCCTGAAATGTGCTTTACCTGTGTGCCTAGGCACGCTTTAGGGGAATAAGTTCCAGTAATGTTTCATGTCTATACCTGTGGAAATGGAAACATGTCGTGGAAATATAGAACAACTTTTTACAGCTTGCTAATATGAAAGGATTAAACTCTCCTTAGATACCATAATCATAATTGACAAAAAATTATCAGTAAATTACAATCTTCCAAAAACTTCTTACTCAAGGTGAAAAGTTAGCCGGTCCAGCACCAATGAGCAAACAGAACAACTAGCCTTTTGTGATATTTTTCCTCTAAAAAAGTTCTTCTATTTCTTTCCTTCAATACACCCCAAGCCCAACATACTGCAAAAAGGAATTGTGTTTTAAACAATCTTTACTTTTTACCATCATCATCAGTTTAATAGGCAAAGTGGAACCACACATTGTAAATAGCTGGAAAAAAAGAAAGCACACACACAGATCCAGTCACAATGCAATGAATAAATTAATGCAGCACTGGCCAAGGAACTTGGTAACATTTGCACATATTGCAGGAAATATAACAAATAGCAAGGGAACTGGATGATACCTTTCTTTGGCTCTATAAATCAGAAAGTGGTATGGTTGATTCATTAACAAAGCAAGGGGTAAACAAGGAACTCCTGTTTGAGGGGGATCATCATCACCTAGTGTTGAATGTAAATTGACATGTTTGGTGTTAGGTAGTTGTGGCTAGTCTAAAAAAGGGCCAACTTTCATTTTACATAGCATTCTTTTATAATTATAAGTAAAATGCAGCATATCCCCCTGAACTATCCTGCACACTAAACAAAAGCTTGTCGGGGGGAATTCTCCTGATTGTAAATAATTAGTTGTCATTATATTGGCTAATGACAGAAACCAACTATATGCTCCTGGCCTTGGTGGTATTGTGTTCCCCCAAATTCCCTTTGAGGGAATTTGTTCACCTGATTTCTGAAAAGTGAACAGTAGCAAGATTTTACCATGAATTTGCTATCTGCATGTTCCTTCCACTATCCTGTATCTGATTAAACAGGTTTTATCCTCCGTTTTTTTTGTTCTTTCAATTAGATTGACACACTTCATCTCTCTATAGAGCAATTGTCTTTGAAGGTTTGGATACCGAACAAGACCTACAGCACCATTAAGAGGTGGTCTGTTACTAGTTGAAGGGGCTAAAAGAGCTGGGGGCAGTCCAGAAATGGAGAGGGGTTGAAGTAGTAAGAAATGACTTACGGGCCCATAGTTTAACAATGGATATGAGGGTGGGCCTTGGCCCAATGGTTGGGTTGCTCCATTGCAACCTGGGTGATCAAGGTTTATATCTTGCAAACAGCCTCTGTACATGCAGGGGCAAGGCTGTGTATATCTGTCCCTCAAAAGATTCCGCATTGGCGGGACCCTCGTGCACCGGCTGCTCTTTAGTTTAACAATGGATATGGCACTGAATAGATTATAGAATGAAATGGCAGAACAGGATTCATGTAGCCAATCCCATATAGTTAGGATGATGCTTAGATGATGATGATGAATTTAGCTTCATACTAACCACAATTTTGGTGGCAGTGTTGTAATCAGTTTTATGATACTGTGATCAATCACATTCCCATGTCACTATTGACTAATGATACTTTGTAGACTTTGCAAGCTAAATCCGACCTCCCCCCAAACCTCCAACCCAAAAGAAGAAAAAAACTATGCAAGGTATCATCTTTAATTCTTTCTTTGTTTATACTTATATTTTGTTTAATTCACTATTTAGAAAATTTGTAATACTTGCATGGAAAATGACAACACTTTGATCATGTATATTGCTCATGCATGGAATGTGCTACTTTTATAAATTTATTTACAAGGGGTGGTCTGACTGTTTCTCATCTTATTATTCTTTTGTTCCATGGTGTGCATCAGTTGTCCTGGGGAAAACACCAGCCCTTGGTATTCATCTTTGTTTTTGTGACTTTGTATGTTATTGTTGTCATTTGCCCTGTTTATGTACTTCAACTAGATGTGGGTGGGCCTTGGTGCAATGGTTTGGTTGCTCCATTGTGACCTGGGTGTCCAGGGTTCAAATCTTGGAAGCGGTCTCTGTGTATCTGCAGTAGTAAGGCTGTGTACATCTGTTCCTTCCCAGACCCCACATTGGTGGGAGCCTTGTGCACTGGGCTGCTCTTTTTTTGTGTACTTAAAAATAGATGGGAGTCTTCTTTTTTGCTTCTGAATGCATGTCCGATGGTTCTACATTTATTGTAGTTTTACAGCTTAACTATCACTTGATAGGGAAAGCAGTTGGTTGTTGTTATTATTATTATTATTATTTTGTAGGTCAGCCAATGGGCGAATTTGCATGAGACAACTTTCCGTTTGGTTGAAGATACACGCTATGTCATGAACCATAATGAAGTTCCCAAGTATATAACTCGTGAGAAGCCAGATGTTTTAACAACTTGGATGAAACTTTTGGCTTTTGTGCAAGGGATGAATCCTCAGAAGAGAGTGACGGGCCTTCATATAGAAGAAGAAAATGAGAATGTCAATCTGCCTTTTGTGTTGGGACACTCAATTGCAAATATACATTCACTGTTTGTTGCAGGGGCATTTTCTGATGATGCCAGGGAAATGGATAGACCTCTCTCTTACATGAATAAAGAAGATTTGGATGACAATGATGGTGTACAGCATCCAAAAGTAGGACTGTCACAAGAAAGTTCTGTGTGTAGTACAACAGGAAGAAATAGTACAATGGATCAGATGTTAAAATGGGGCAAAGTAAAAGTTGATACTGGTAGCCTTATTTCAGTTCCACCTCCTGTATCTTGGTTAACATTTGAGTGTCTGAAGGCTATTGAAAATTGGTTGAGACATAGTGTTAGATCAGGGATTTATCTTAGTTCTTTGTCTCCAGACACTGAAACTTGTACTGGTAGCAGTCTCTTATCCTTGAGGAAAACATTTTCTAGGATTAGAAAGGGCAAAAATATCTTCTACCGGACACCTACATATAGAAATAGATTTACTACTTCAAGTGAAATCTATGCTAGGCATAACTCTTCTCCTTTTTATAGTGGTTTTCCTAGAAGTGTTGATCTGGAGAATGAACAAGCTGGAGTCCAAGGACATGACATGATGGACACTAGTGAAAGGGATCCTGAAAATTCCAGTTCAGGGAGGGACATTGATGAAGATATTTTGGAGGCAGACCATACCATGGAATTGGAATCTTTACATGTATTGAGTTTGTCAGATTGGCCTGATATAGTTTATGATGTTAGTTCACAGGATGTAACTGCTCACATCCCTCTTCATCGATTGCTTTCTTTGCTGATACAAAAGGCATTGAGAAAATGCTATGGTGAATCCAGAGATCAGGACAACGCCAATGCTAGTAATATTTTTCAATTGCCTAGACCTGATCATGATTTCTTTGGACATTTTCTTGGAGGCTGCCACCCATATGGATTTTCGGCCGTTATAATGGAGCATCCTCTACGGATAAGAGTATTTTGTGCTCAGGTGTGTGCTGGAATGTGGCGGAAGAATGGGGATGCTGCAATGTTCAGCTTTGATTGGTATAATTCGGTTCGGTGGTATGTCAAATGATGTTTTCTTTTGAAACAGAGTATGCATTGGTTGGTCAGTGTTTCTTGTATGGTGTTGATCTTCTGATGTTTTGACTTCCTTAGTTCTGTTTTACAGGTCTGACCAGGGTTTAGAACTTGATCTATTTCTATTGCAATGTTGTGCTGCATTAGCTCCACCAGACCCATATGTTAAAAGAATTCTGGAGCGCTTTGGTTTATCAAGCTATCTTTCTCTAAATTTGGAACGGTCTAATGAGTATGTGCCATGACCAACTTCTTCCATGTGTGTTAAATGCATATGTTATAATTATGTGTGGTTGATGCATGCATTTTTGGAAAATTTAATGATAGATTTGGGAACAATATGTACACAACATCACTAATATATGCTACTATTAAAAGTGGAAAGTAGGTCTAGATTCTAGAATTTTTCTTGACTAAAATACCCTTATTGTTGAATTTGGTCCCTCTTTATTATAAGGGCAAAGACTTAATTTGAACTACTTATATTAAATTCAATCCATTCCCTCTTATTAAGTCCTATATTTAAGGTATTAACTCCCTTCCCCCCATTAAATCATATATTTATTGTATATTAAATAAATGAGCTTAGTGGACTTTTTTTACTAGAATACCTCTGCTTTTGAATTTGGTCCTCCAACTGTGAGGGCAGAAAATGTAATTTAAGCTGTTACTTCTCACTTCATTCAATTCCCTCTCATTAAGTTGTTGACTAACTTTTCACAGTATCAAGATGGTGTCTGGGTTCAAACTCCAAAGATTTCTTTGTTGAAGATGGAGTGGTGGTGCGTYTGCTAGGTCTTCCCTTTCATTTGTGGAAGCAAGAAACTGCTGAAGCCATTGCTTTGATGTGTGGAGGATCACTAGGAGGGGCTTTTTGGGGAGACCTTCGTTCAACTTCCATTTTATTAAATGGAGTAAAACCTGAGGAGATACCTCGGAAGATAGAGGTGCTAGTCGAGAGGCAATGCTACTCAGTGTGGCTGGCTTCATCCACTGAATCAATGCTCTGGAAAGAGGCTCGTATGGAGGGAGATGAGAAGGTTGAAGAAGAAGAGCTGCGTGGCAAGAAAGGGTTGGAGGATTYAAACAAGAAAAGCACTTTCACTAAAATGGAAAAACATTTGCTGGAGAAACAAAAGGGTAGTAGGCAGGGGGTGGGATTTTCGCGTGTGGAAGAAGCGAGCAGTCTGGAGGTTGGCAGGTCCTTTGCACAGGTTGTAATTGGCACCAAGACTGTTCTGAATAGGGAAAAGGGGCTGGGCCAAGGAAGATTTGAACTTAAACCTRTTAGAACCAAACCGGGGTCGGGGTTGGATGCGCGTGACCTTCTTAAAAGTCACGTGAGCTCGCGGGTGCTTACAAATGGGCCAAAGCAAAAGCCCATGTGGGCTGCAAAGGGTATTCTTAAAGGCCCAAACAGGCTAGCGGGCCCGACCCAGATTGTTTATAAGGCGCGTGAGCCACTAAAGAAACACGTGACTGGGGTTTCGACTAAGATAGACTTCGGTTTTGGTCTATCATCGTCCCCAGTCGCGAGCCAAAAGGGGGAATGCGCGCAGCGTCTAAACCAGGAAAGAAGAGGGCATTATAGTGGGTCTCCCGACGCAACTTGAAGGAGCTTAGCCCCGTGCGAGGCTTCTCAGAGAGGCCGGAGCTAAGTTTCACTAGGGGAAGAACTGAAGAGAAGAAAGAGAAGTTTGAAGGGTGGGTGCAGTGCAGTGAAGACGATGGTGAACCGGAGGACCTTTTTGTCGATGGCTCTAGCGTGGGCAGTGTAAATGATGAAGGCAGTTGTGCTGGAGGTGATATGGAAGGGTGGAATATTGCAAGATTATTCCAAGGTGAAGACTGCAATCGGATTATCTCATTCCCAAGACCACAGAGTGCGCAAGGTTTATCAGAAGGGGAAAACCGGGAGAACCGGAAGCAGAGCAGGAATATGCTATCTAGGGGTGACCCAGGGGTAGAGTGGAAAGATCACCAGGTTGACCAAAGGATAGAAGTACTTCCCAACCAACTCAGGAAGATAATTATTTACGAAACTTCGGAACAAGAGGAGGCTGGGAGCAGTCCTATTCTAGTTTGCCCTTCAGTCCCAGGTAACCATGTGATTTCGGTTTGTGCTACTAATGTGTCTCCTGTGTCTTTGGTTCCAGATTCCGTTCCTGTACCATGTCCTGTAGCCCATGAATATGCAGCCGAGCTAGTAGGCGCGCTCTCTGAGGAGAGGGAGAGGGGAAGGAAGGAGTGTGGGAAGGTGCGGGAAGAAAGGTATAGAAGTGGACAAGTGTGGGAAATCWTTGAAAGAGTGTTTAAGGATTTGGAAGGGCAGCTGATATGGAGGAGGGAAGGGGAGGAAGGAAGAGAGGAGGGGTTAATGGAGAGGAGGGACAGGAATGAGGGTAGAGATGGAGAGGTTTACGGGGAGAAAGCAAGGTAGGAGGGAGGTAACAGTAAGGGGAGGAAGGTTGGAGAGGAAAGAACTGAGGTGGGAATAGAGGAAAGGAAGGAAAGGTAGGTGGATAGAGATGAAGGGGATCTGTAGGAAGGGTAGGGGTGGTGGAATCGGTGAGAGAAGACACGATAGCAGAATTTGTAGGGAAGTTAGGTTGTAGGCTGGAGGATTTGAACGAGTTGAAAGAAAGTTTACAAAAGAGGAAGATGCAGATCATAACAAAGAAGTGGAGGTTGAGTGAAGTAGAGAGACTAAAGAGAGATGTAGAAGGAGACAAGAAGCTCGAGGTAAAAGGAAAGGGGGAAAGTAGCGGATAGGTGGCAGGGGTTTGTAAAAGAAGCGGAATGAAGATTCTTAGTTGGAATGTGAGGGGAATTGGGAGTGCGAAGAAGAKAGCAACAATAAAAKAGGTAATAAGACGGTATGACCCAGACATTGTGCTGTTGCAAGAGTCTAAGAGAATGGAGTTTAGTGACAAATGGGCAAGGAGTGTATGGAAAGCCAGGGGGATT